CCAACAAGTTTTTGCTTTTCTGGTCTAAACGAAGGCTCACCTGAAGTGCATCCATACCAATTCTTGGATTGAAAACTTTCAGCTTGCAATATCCAGGATCAATAACAAACAATATTCCATCAACGGTGAGCGATGTTTCCGCAATATTTGTTGCGACGATGCACTTACGAATACCACCGGGAGCTTTATGGAAAATTTTTGCCTGTAAATCGCTGGGAAGCTGCGAATAAATGGGCAGCACAGCAAGCGGCGGAGCATCATCGAGCTCTTCCAGCTGATTTTTGATCATACCACAAGTAACCTGCAATCCACGTACCAGTGTAAAACACAACAACACTGCCTTACAAAATGATACAATAAATTTATGCGAATGTAGCGAGCTGAGATGAGCAAATCGGAGAGGCTGCCAGCTGCATCAGTGGTGCGAATGAAAGCAATGATGAAGCAATGGCTGATCAAAGTACCTCGATATCTTCCTGTCCAGGCATAAATATCAGAATATCTCCTTCCACACCACCAAGATGAACTTTCACTGCCTGTTTCACAGCTACATCGACATAATCCTCCATCGGCGTACGTGCATGGAATATTTCGACAGGGAATGTACGTCCTGAAATAATGCCCTTATTTATTAATCAAATCCTAAAATTCGCAAATAATAAAAAAACGGATCTATGCGCAGTACAAACGACCAGAAAATTTTGTTTACGAGAAAGACTGTTGCAAAATAGTGCCGGAAAAAGCAACTAACTAAGATTATGCAAATGAGTGATTCTAGGAAAAACCTCCGTAACATGAATTATCAGTTGTCACCATTTTTCTAAAGAGCCATCTGTGAAAGAGGCCATCGAAAGCTTTCTAGCGGGACGGCTATTGTTAGCCTGTTTTATTACTAGAGCTAATTCCAGGTGTCCCCCTTCCCATTCCTTAGCCCCGCCCCCTCTCAAACACAGTGAATGCAGAAAAAATTTTTCTTTCTCTTACATGTTTCGCCTCTACCCCTATTCCCTTTTTCCTTCCCGTCCTAAACAATATCTGCTGGTAATTGGTAAGAAAGAACAGGAATATGCATTTACCAGGAATAGTAAAGCATGGAGTGTGTCCACCAAAGAAATTTGCGAACTTCTCGGCGTCCATAGTAGCAGAAGTGACGATTAGCTTGAGATCAGCACGGCGCGCAACGACGTCTCGCAACAGACCAAACAGCACATCCGTGTTTAGTGATCTGAACAACAAAGTGAAAGAATTTTGAAAAAATTCTTCGCAAACTCAAAACAAACTCGCACTATACATAATACAGTGGAACCTATTTCACTTCTCCCATTTACGCGAATCAAAAATGAATTATTGCTATTCGGCTTCCACTGGATTGCTTTCTTTCGCTATAACTTATCAGCCATGTGCACCTGGCAAAATCGTCTTCGCCGGCAATTCCGACGTTTCTATCTTTTTCTGAAGGAGTTTTCAACATAACGGTCCCCCCCCCCCCCCCC